AAAAAAAAAAAAAAAGTGAGACTCTGCTTCTAAAAAATTATATAAATAAATGTAACTGAGAAAGACCTTTCTAGGGAGGCACCATCTGAGCTGAGAGTTAAAGATGAGGGGATCTCAGGTTTGGATAGAAGATGGAGGGGATTAGGGGAGGGGCTTTCCAGAGAAAAACACGGCAAGTACAAAGGCCTGCAGGCAGGAGTACTGAGAACCAGGAAGGCCCATGTGGCTTAAGCAGAGTGAGGAGAGGAGGAGAGAAGAGAGGTAATGGGAGAAGGGCCAGAGGGAGACATAGGGAGGAATTTGGATTATTTTCTCCGACACTTCACCTTTCAAACCTACAGAAAAGTCAAAAGAATTTTACAGCAAATGCCTGTATACCCACCGGCAGATTCTCCCTTTCACACCCTGTTCTTTTTGCTTCATCACTCATATGCACATCCATCCTTCCATCCATCCATCAGTCTATCTGATTTCTCTGGACCCGTTTCAAAGTAGGCAGCAGACATCAAGCCACATCACCCCTGAACACTTCAGCATGCAAATCATTAACCTGGGTCCAATATTTGCTTTTTGTTTGTTTGTTTCAAGGTAAAATTTACCTGCATGAAATAAATATATCATTTTTTTTTTGAGACAGAGTCTCACTTTGTAGCCCTTGATAGAGTGCCATAGGTCACAGCTCACAGCAACCTCAAACTCTTGGGCTCAAACAATCCCTTTGCCTCAGCCTCCCGAGTAGCTGGGACTACAGGTGCCCGCCACAACACCCTGCTATATTTTATTTTATTTTTAGAGACAGAGTCTTACTTTGTTGCCCTTGGTAGAGTGCCAGGGCGTCACAGCTCACAGCAACCTTCAGCTCTTGGGCTTATGGGATTCTCTTGCATCAGCCTCCCAAGTAGCTGGGACTACAGGCGCCTGCCACAATGCCAGGCTATTTTTTTGTTGCAGTTCAGCTGGGGCTGGGTTTGAACCCGCCACCCTTGGTATATGGAGCCAGCGCCCTACTCACTGAGCCACAGGTGCCGCCCTCAGCCACCCCTTTAAATTGTTTTGTCATCATAACTTAGTTTTGCCAGTTTTAGAACTTTACATAGATTAAATTATACACTATGTTTTCAAGGCCTGGCATCTTCCACTCTGTGGAATGTTTTCGATATCTGTCCATTGTTACTGCATCTATCAGGGGCTTGATACTTTTTATTATCACACTGGATGCATTGTGGGAATGTACCATAACTGGTTTACCATTGCTTGTTGATGGGCATTTGGGATGCTTCCAGATTTTGGTAATTTTTTTTTTTTAGACAGAGCCTCAAGCTATCCCCCTGGGTAGAGTGCTATGGCATCACAGCTCACAGCAACCTCCAACTCCTGGGCTGAAGTGAGTCTCCTGCCTCCGCCTCCGCCTCCCAAGTAGCTGAGACCACAGGCGCCCGCCACAAGGCCCGGCCATTTTTTGGTTGCAGCCATCATTGTTGTTTGGTGGGCCCGGGCTGGGGATTTGAAACTGCCACCTTAGGTGTATGTGGCTGGTGCCGAGCCCAGAGCAGAGGGAAGCTGCTCTGAATGTTCACAAATGTACTCTGTACGAACAGAAGTTTTCTTTTTACTTTTTTTTTGCAGTTTTTGGCCGGGGCTGGGTTTGAACCTGCTACCTCCAGTATATGGGGCTGGCACCCTACTCTTTTGAGCCACAGGTGCTGCCAGAAGTTTTCATTTCTCTGAGGTAACTCACTAGGAGTGACATGGGTGGGTTATATGGTGGTTGCATGTTTAACTTTGTAAGCAACCACCAAAAGACTTTCTTGGGTGGCCGTACCATTTTACACTTCCACTTCTATCAGTAGAATTTGAGGTTTTAAAAAAAACCATATCATGCTGTATACTATTAATAGATTTTTTTTTTGAGACAGGGTGTTGCTCTGTCACCCAGGCTGGAGTGCCATTGCATCATCATAGTTCACTGCAACCTCAAACTCCTGGGCTTGAGTGATCCTCCTGCCTCAGGGTCTCAAGTAGCTGAGATTGTGTGTGCTTGGTTAATTGTTGAGTTAATTGTTCTATTTTTTGTAGAGATGGGGGTCTCACTCTTGCTCAGGCTGGTCTCTGACTCCTGGCCTCAAGTGATCCTCCCACCTTGGCCTCCCAAAGTCAAGGGATTACAGATATAAACAAACTCACCCTCCCTATATATACTTTTTATTTCTCTTTTTTTTTTTTTTGAGACAGAGCCTCAAGCTGTCACCCTGGGTAGTGTCGTGGCATCGCAGCTCACAGCAACCTCCAACTCCTGGGCTCAAGCGAGTCTCCTGCCTCAGCCTCCCAAGTAGCTGGGACCACAGATGCCCACCACAGCGCCTGGCTATATTTTTGGTTGCAGCCGTCATTGTCGTTTGGCGGGCCTGGGCTGGATTCAAACCCGCCACCTTAGGTGTATGTGGCTGGCACCTTAGCTACTTGAGCCACAGGCGCCGAGCCGATTTTTATTTCTCAATTTAAAAACTCACAATGGCAACCAAAGGAAGGCTGAAAAAATACACAATAAAAGAAAAATGTCACACACAAAAATAACTGTGTATTCTCAGATTCTATTTACATAAAATTCACAACCAGGCAAAATCAATCCATGATTCTTCTGTTTGTTTCCTACTGGCTTGCTCCTGCAAATTACCACAAACCTAGTAACTTAAAACAACACACACTTGTTATCTG